TTTTATCTTTATATTAAAGGTATACAGTCAAAGTCCTATGTTCAAAACATACTTGGGAGCCAAATATATGCTGATGGAAGAGTTGATGTTATTCATTGAAATACAATTGTTTCAGTTATTGCTGTTTGTATTCAATTTTGGAGGTTTTCCACCCAACCTCGTTAATTTTATTTTTGGACATATAAAACATTAACAAGCCGAAACCGGTTTGGCTCAGTGGTAGAGCGTCGGTCTGCGGACTGAAAGGTCCTGGGTTCGATTCCAGTCAAGGGCATGTACCTTGGTTGCGGGCACATCCCCTGTAGGGGGTGTGCAGGAGGCAGCTGGTCGATGTTTCTCTCTCATCTACGTTTCTAGCTCTCTATCTCTCTCCCTTCCTCTCTGTAAAAAATCAATAAAATATATTTTAAAAAAAACAAACATTAACAAGTTTCCTAAACTCAAAAATATACAAAAAGGTATAATCAGAGCAATCCCTCCATTATCCCCTTTACTCAGTTCTTACTCACCATCCACCTCCTGTAGGTAACTAATTAACTTCTGGTTATCTCTCCAAATATTTGTTTTTGTTCTACAAAAAAATTATGCTTTCTACATTAGTAGAGATGGGGCAGAATACTGGATTGAGAATTTTATTTAATACTACAGGCCCAGTGCATGACATTCGTGCACTCCCGGGGCGAGGGGGGTGGGGAAGCAGAGTCCCTCAGCCCAACCTGTGCCCTCTCTCAGACCAGGACCCCTCAGAGGATGCCTGCCTGCCAGCTTAGACCTGCTCCCTGCAGGCAGTCGGACATCCTTCAAGGTGTCCTTGGTGCTGCCTAGGAGGTAAAAGAAGCTCCCACCACCGCTGCTGAGCTCGCCAGCATTGAGCATCTGCCCCCTGGTGGTCAGTGCTTGCCATAGGAACCAGTCATTCCACCGTTCAGTCAATTTGCATATTAGGGTTTTATTATATAGGATGGCACACATAACAGAATGTTTGTATAATAATTAAATGTTCCACAGAAACTGAAATTGAAGCTGTAGGAGGGACAGGATAATTACAGGGGGGAATAGCTATCAAAATGTCCTCTGGTTTAGCCCTGGCTGAGTGATTCAGTTGGTTGGAGCGTTGTCTGGTATACCAAAAAGGTGGCAGGTTCGATTCCCCATCAAGGCACATGTCTAGGTTATGGGTTCAATTCCCTGTCAAGGCACATACAGGAGGCAACCAATCTCTCTTCCTCTCTTTCTCTCTCTCTCCTACATTCCTGTCTCTCTACAAATCAAGAAAAACTTATTCTCGGATGAGAATTGAAAATTATATATATATTATTTTTGGGGAAACGGAAAATATATATATATATATATCTTCTAGTTTAATTTGAGGGATGTCAAAAGGTTACCATATTTCAAAATAGGTTACCATCCTGTTTGTAACCTTCCAAATTAGTTAATATCTATGGCTTTAGAGAACCCACATTAAAAATGGGGTTATTATTTTGGAAGGACAACTAAGCTGTCACTACCTATTATTGTCAATAGGAGATATTCTGCCAAAGCAAGTGGTAGGTTTTGAACTCTGAGCTAGACATTTGATCAGGAATAGACAGGTGAGAAGAGAATGGCTGATGTGAGGATCTGTGTAATAACACAAACGAACAATAACAATCATACTGGAAAAACAGACCACATCTCTAACATATTTTGGGAAAGTTACAAATGTGCTAATAATGTATGCTAGTAATTGAGGATCATTCCTCATGCCCTGGCTCTAAGCCAACGTGGCACAGAGAATATGGACTTTAGAGACAAAGAGGTCTGACCTTGAATCCCAACTGAGTTACTCAACTACATGATCACTCACACATCTCAGAGGCGGTTTCCTTAACTGTAGAGCTGGATAATGCCTCCTTTGCCAAGCTAATGTGAGATATAAATAGAATAATGTATAACACTGCCCCTGACCCAGAGCAGATGTTCAATAAACAGATGTCCCCATAATAAATGCAGATTAAACTAGCCAGCAAGGTAAAGAAACTAACCACACAGTGTACCTCAACAACATGCCTGAGAGAAATCAGAGAAATCACACCATCTCTGGCAGTATCTGGTAAGGGCAGAAAAATGTACAACACTTACTTGCAATTCTCAATCTTCAAAATGTCCCAGACTCTATTTTTAAAGTGTAAAAATATGTGCTGACATACTAAAGTGTCAATGATTTAAAAGAAACCATTCTGGAGAGATGTCAATCAAATGGTACAAACTTCTAGTTATAAGATGAGTAAGTCCTGGGACGCTTATGAACAGCATGGCGACTATGGATAACAATATTCCATTGCACACTTCAAAGTTGCTAAGAGAAATCCTAAATGCCCTCATAAACCCCTCCCCCGCCACACACACACACAAAAGTAATTATGTGAGGTAATCGGTGTGTTTCATTAACCTTATTGCACAATCATGTTGCAATATATGTGTATCAAATCATCACATTGTACATCTGAACAATGTTATATGTCAATTTTATCTCAACAAAGCTGGAGAGACACTGAAAGAAGCAATTCTGTAAGTTATTCTGAGAAATGACTCAGAATAACCTAAATAATGCTCATGGCTCATAAACAGATAAACCTAAATATATCACAAGCCATACTAAACAACTTTATAATTTTATACATGTGTACACACAAGACAACTAGCCATGCTCAGAAAACAACATTTTTGGCCCTAGCTGGTTTGGCTCAGTGGATAGAGCACCGGCCTGTGGACTGACGGGTCCCGGGTTCGATTCCCATCAAGGGCACATGCCCAGGTTGCGGGCTCAATCCCCATTAGGGGCATAGAGGAGGCAGCTGATCAGTGATTCTCTCCCTTCATTGATGTTTCTATCTCTCACTCTCTCACTTCCTCTCTCTGGAATCAATAAAAATACTTTTAAAAGGCACAATTAAAAAAGAAAACATTTTATAAAAGTTTATATTTCAGTTTCAAATTTGTCTACAAACCAAAATGCAACAAGGAAAAATCTTAAAGTGGACTTTAAGCAAATACTGAAATGTGATAAACTTTCAGAGCAGTGGACCACAAAAGGGGAGGGCGGGGGGCACTGTAATAAATCTATCCAAAAGTAACCTCATGGAGTGATCTGGTCAGAAATCCCTAACTGAGCAGGTTATATTGGATAGTTACACCTCAGGCCTACAACTGCCCTAGTAAAAGGTTATCTTTATCTTACGTAAACCCGTCCATTGTTTTCTGTGCATCTAGGTTAACACACACCTTTGAAATGTCCCTTTTTGAGACCCCCTGGAGAGAGCATATAACCTTGTTAATTACCCTGCAATCCAGGCATTTTCAACCGGTGTGCTGAGGCAGGCCCAAGGGCGTGTGCCACACGCATTTTTTAAAATGTGCAATAGCTGACCTCTTCCTCTTAGATTGTCAAATTAAAAAGGACAACAGCCAACAACATAACAATAGCTGTCCATTGTGAATGAATGAATGGATCAAAATTATATTTTTAGGTCAGATTGGCCAAAATTATATATACATGGTGTGCTACAGAATTTTAGTAATTATGTGTGCCATGAGATGAAAAGGCTTTTTTTTTTAAGTTTTTAATCGACCAGTGATTCCCTGCCTTGCCTTTTCCTATGAGTTCATACAATGTTCCTTATGTTCCTTCCTTAATTGCAGATGTGTTTAAAAAAAATCCAAAAAAAACCCTGCAAAACTGTACTTCTCCAGGAGCATTTGACGTCTTGCATCCCCAAATGTAGTCAGTTTGGGCTCCAATAAACTCTTCTAACAATTCTCTACAGCTTTGGGAGGTTCTTATAACCCGAAAGCCCCACGCTTCAAGAGTCTTAAACTATGCCATGGCAGACCCTCCGCGCATGCCATCTTGTGTACACAGACCTTTGTTTTCCTCCTGAGCAGGAACGACTTCTCTTTCATCTTAAATAAGCAGTGTGCGCTCTATCTCTACTCCGCCAGAGGCACTTAGAGCTCCCCATCCCAGTGCACAAGGCTAAAATGGGCTGATGGCACAGCGATCTAATCAACAATTAGATGCCTGAAGAAAACTTCCCAGCAGGGCGCCCATCCACCAGCGGAGCTGTTTTGCCCACGGCAGGCAGATGCATCCGAAGCCTTCTTCACTAAGAGAGACATCGAAGGAGTGGAGGAAAAAAGGGGAAGAGAGAGGATGCAAACTAACAACGCGCTGCTTCTAGACACAAATAAAAGTCTGTTTTCGAAGCTCTTGGAAAGTCCATCATCTTCCCTGAGCGAAGAGCAGTAAGTATCAAAACACACACGGCTAATCAGTTGCGTTTCGCACAGAAAAAAAAAAAAAAGGATGTGGAGAGAGTAAAAAGAAACATGTCACCGTGTTTTCGAACACTGAACTCACAAAGTGAGCGACATCCATTCATTTCCCCCCACCCGCCTCCAAAATGCGGGGCATCGTATCATCTCCGAAGTGAGTTTAACACGAATCTGTTGGGCTCGGTTTTTTTTGTTTGTTTGTTTGTTTGTTTTTTAGCTTCTCGGGAGAAAACTTTCCTGAGCTTCCCCAGCGCCCTCCACCCAGTCACCCTTCTGGGCATTTCCCAAAAACCGCTATTTTCAAGGTAAAGACGAGCTCCCGCTCTGCCCCGGGCGGACTCGGGGCGCGGAGAGGAACCGAGGGTCCCCGAGGCCGGGGACACGGACAAGTCCTCCCGCTTCGCTCCCCAGGAAGCGCCCACGGCGGCGGCCGGGCGGCCGGTCTCCCCGCGAGGGAGCAGAGCGCGACCGAGACGCGCCCGCCCCGTCCCCGTCCCCGTCCCCGTCCCCGTCCCGCGGGGTCCGCCGCCCGGAGTCCCCGGTCCCCGCGTCGGGAGGCACCACCCAGCCCGCCCGGCGGCGCCGCCGACGGGGCCGGGTTCCGTCGGAGCGGCCCCGCGGCGCCTCGCGCCCCCTGCGGGAAGCCCGCGATCCCCCCGCGGGGCGCCCCGACGAGCCTATACCTGGAGGAGCTCGGGCCCGCGTCCGCCGGGCGCCGCCTGGGTTGTCCGCGGGGTTCTCGGCAGCCCCACGCGCGGCGAGCCGGCCAGCAGAGCGCAGAGCACCGCCGAGCACCGCCGCGATCCGTCGGCCACACCCAGGCCCGCGCCTCCCGTCGCCGCCGCCAACTCCCGCGACGCCGCGCCGGGCCGGGGCGTGGACGTGGCCGCAGGCGCGAGGCGCGAGGCGCGAGGCACGAGGCGCGCGGAGCCGGCGGGGGCGCGCCGCGGGCGGGCGCGCGCAGACCCTGGCTGGAGGGAGGGAGCGCGCCCGAGCGCGGCCCGGGGTGGGGGTGGGGGTGGGGGTGGGGGTGGGGGGGCCGCAGGGAGCGGGCAGCTTCTGCTTCCTATTTTCTGTCTCGTTTCCTGCCCGAAGAAGAAAAACATTCATTCCCGGGCAGTTTCGTTTTCTGGTCGGCGTGGCGCCTGGACGCCCGCCGGCCAGCGCGTCCTCCTGAGGAGCGCCCGGGAGCTGGGGCCCGTTTCCTTCCTGGCACCGCAGGAAGCCTCTCCGTGCGCTCGGTCGTGGGCAGGAGAGCGGGGGCCGGCTCGGGAGACCCCCAAGGCCCCGTTGAGGTGGACCATGATAATATGCTAAAGTTAGAAGTCAGCTGGAGCCCCGAGTGTGATACAAAATTGCATCGCAATCCCAGCGCTACCATCGACTGTGCCGTCTCAGAGCCTTGTTTTTCTGTCTTCGGAAAATGGGGAGGAGGATACCTGCCCCAGAAAGGTGCTAACATGGGAAGTGAGATAATGTTCGCACAGAGCCTGCCTCTAAATAAATGATCAATACTTGGGAAGGTATCTTTACGACTGTCGCTAATGAAGGCCTTTCCAGATAACCCTGTAGGTCAAGTCGCTCTTCTCTGCAGGAGTTAAAGATCATTAGGCATCGCAAGCGACTTTTTTTCCCTTTCATTCCTCTGGGCGTTTGATGTGGAAAATGTCATAAAGCGAATGCAACTACCCAATTTAGTTGCTCTGAAGTCAGTTATCCGCCCGGGAGCAGTTTTCCTTCCCCCCCCCCTACCCCCACCCCCCACCCCCCGCCCCCATCTTTCTTCTGAGTTAATTTCAGTTTGACAGACTGTTGCTATAGCATTCCTCCTCTGACGTCAAACAATTTAAAGAAATAGCCCTGGGCAAGGAAAACTGCAGAGGAGTGCTCTGTGGAGTGTCTGTGCCGGAGAAAGATTTCAACAGTATCATCGTGATCCTCACCTCCGCAGCCTGCCATTCCTTCCTTCTTCTTCAGCAGCTTCCCATGATCATCTGTGAGGGGAAAAATCTCTCGGTACCTTAAAAGCGGCGATGCCATGATAAGCACACCCTGATAATGACTGTGAGGAAAATGTGACCGTTTTGTGTAAAAGCCAGACCATGACAAAAGTGGAAAGATTCGTGGGGCGAAGGATGATGACATTAGAGGTGGTTTTAGCTCCAATTTTCATTTCCCCTAAGGTGGGGGTGCCCTTTCCCACTACGAAGAAAGGGGAGAAATGCCAAACCCTCCACATATCAAAGTGTCAGGAAAGTTGATTCCGACCTGTGTGGTTTGCAACTGTAACTTTTTAAGTGTTTTCATGATTAAATTCTGAGTCTTGTTATCCTTTTCAGAAGGAAGTAAAGGAAAATTGTTATTTAAGGAGAGCTTATGAAGTACCAGGCTCTCTGCTTTTTCAAATCATACTTAATTCTCATAATGATCTTAACAATGTGTGTCATATCCCCACTTCACAGATATGGAAACTGAGGCTCAGTGAGATTAAGTAATTTATCTGGAGTCTCACAGGGAATGACAGAGCTTTATGTGGACCCTAAGTTGGACTGACTCCAAAGTCCAACACCATTCTTTCTGTCTTATTCCTGGGTACTGACATTTAACAGGTTTTATAGGGTTTGGAGAGGTGATTGGGTTAAGATTATCAGTTGAAAAACATGTTGCTGGAATTAGGAAAGTACTGAGATATTTTATTCCAGAAAAGATTAGGGGAAATACAAAAACAATAGCTTCTAAGCACAGAAACCTGAAGAGATTTTACTGATCTTTGAAGATTTGAGAACAAATTACACAAAATGATGAATTTAACCTTCTTGAAAATTTTACATGGGCAGAAAAATTACTAGAAGAATAAAGTCCAAGTACAAAAAAGGAAAGTTTAATTATTATCCAAACGAGACCACTTCCAAGAATATTCCATTTTTGTTTTGCCACATCTGCTGAATATTTTTTTCTGAAAAGAACACTTACTTGCTAAAGGACAAGCCATTACTACAAATCTGAAAGTGGAGCTAATGAAAAGAATTTCATTACCACGAATAATTTCCTAAGAGCGCAGTGATGCATCTAAGTGATCCAGCAATTAGTTATTTTTCAGATGATAATGTAATCAATTTAAGAAAAAAGGGGAGAGAGAGAAAGAAGGACATGCTATTAATATTTTCAAAGACTGCAAATTTGTGTAGACAATTGTGATGATACATCCTGCTTCTAACGCTGAAACCCAAGGGTCTCGTGTTTGGGTGCCATTGGATGATATCTAGATTTCTTTCTCTTTTTTTTTAATATTTTGTTGATTTTTTACAGAGAGGAACGGAGAGGGATAGAGAATTAGAAACATTGATGAGAGAGAAACATCGATCAGCTGCCTCCTGCACACCCCCAACTGAGATGTGCCCTCTCGACCAAGGTACATGCCCTTAACAGAAATCGAACCTGGGACCCCTCAGTCTGCAGACCGACACTCTATCCACTGAGCCAAACCAGTCAGGGCGATATTTAGATTTCTAAGTCCTTAGGCCCATGTTCTCAAATCCTACTTTATTTTTTTAATTCATTTTTTTAGAGAAAGGAAGAAGGGTGAGAGAAAGGGAGAGAGAAAATTGCTGTGAGGGAAACATTAATGTGAGAGAGAAACATGGATTAGTTGCCTCCTACTGGGAATGGAACCCATAACCTGGGTATGTGCCCTGACAGGGAATCAAGCCTGTTATCTTTTGGCTTATGGGATGATGCTCCAACCAACTGAGCCATACTGGCTAGGACTCAAATCTTATTCTATTAAGAGAGGATGGTGGCATTCCTACTAGAGAACCCATGAAGACAAATCCCCTGCCTGTTACATCTTTGTATTCCCAGTAGTTTTTTTTTGTTTGTTTGTTTTTTGTTTTTGTTTGTTTGTTTGTTTGTTTAACAGACAGGGATGTTCCAGAGCCTATAAGACAAACTTCACATTTTGATTTTATTTTTTTATATTTTATTGATTTTTTACAGAGAGGAGGGAGAGGGAGAGAGAGTTAGAAACGTCGATGAGAGAGAAACATCGACCAGCCGCCTCTTGCACACCCCGCACCGGGGATGTGCCCGCAGCCAATGTACATGCCCTTGACCGGAATGGAACCTGGGACCTTTCAGTCCGCAGACGAACGCTCTACCACTGAGCCAAACCGGCTTCTGCTCCCAGTAGTTTTTAACAGAATACTTTGCACATACTAGCTACTCAGTGAATGAACAGATGAATGAATGAATGAATGAATGAATGAATGAATGAATGAATGAATGAATGTGGCTACTTATTTTACTCAAAGAACCTTCAATACCTAACCCCCATACCCTACTCAGAATCCTAGAAAGAGGAGAATAATCATTATTTAGTTACAGTTGCTACTGCAGAGTGTTTTGCTCTCCTATGAGTTCAGAGAAGTTCTGCTCTTGGTCCTGTATTAGATGAGTCACCCTAAAGTCCACGAGGCCAAAGGTCTGTAAACTGTGCTTTTAAATCGTATACCAGAAATGGTCTAATTTTTTAGCCTACTTTGCTCTCAGACAACATCAAGTGCATTATAAAGACAGAATTATCAAAATGTACAATTTTCCAGTGCTGTCCTATTGTTTATATTGTATGCATTCCAACCCTATTGTATTTGGGATGAGGCCAGATTATATACATGCAACATTAGAACTAAAGTAAAGGCTTTCTTCCACTACAAACACACACCCCACACACACACACACACTTTAAAATATTAAATGGAACTTGTCTAATAGGATCTACGGCAGAGTTCCCAAGGATATGGGAATGGATTCCTAGGTAGATTCTGGTAAGAAATAAGTTAATGAGTTTTTTTTCCAGACAACTTGATCCTGAGCAGCCATGTCTAAAGCCTCCCATCTTGCTCAGGCACAATGCATTTTTATATTAAATCATTTTATAGCTTATATTTTGAGCTGTCCACCTTTGCTGTGTGCCTCTGACACTCCTGATGGCAAATCAGTGATAGCATCTTTCTTGCATTTCCCTATCAGGGTCTCTAATTGTAATTGGGACCTATGGCCTGTCTACATATCAGTGACCTTAGGAGAGTGCTGTATTTAACTAATGATGTATGTCACAGGCATCGGGGGTGGGGTGAGGAGTAGAAACACCCAGGTATATACTTGCTCTTCTAGGTCCTGTGATTCAGGTCTCTGGAATCTGTTATTGGGAAGGACAAGCAAAGTGAAAAGAATACTAAACTGCATGTCAGAAGGTCTGATTTAGAGCATTAGCTTTGGTTCCAAATATTTGCACGATCTTGAGCAGGTCACAACTTTCCTGAATTCTGTCTTAACAGTTAAAAGGAAAGTTCTGGGTTTTAACAGGATTGGCAAATATCACTCATCCCACCAGTCAGTCCTATGCCCAATGTGTAACTTCATGTATCTTTCCCTCTAAGACTCATCCCGTCCCAGGAATTCTTCCGACCAGCACGCACCAGGAAGGCACTCTGATTTGAATGTTGATAAGTGAATAAAAGCACTACGTGAGCTGTCCATCGCTGAGTGACACACCACCCCAAGTCTAATAGTAGATTAGAACAACAGCTCCATTTCCTTATTCATTTCCTTCGCTCCTAATAGCCGACTTCGGCAGGGCTTGGCAGACACACTCTTTTCTGCTCCAGACAGTGTCGGCTAGTTGGACTCTAATTTCAAGATGGCTCGCTGAGATGGCTGGCGAGGGGAACTGGATGTCGGTGGGAAGACCAGCCAGGGCTGTGGACAGAGACCTCCATGCCTCTTCACACAGGCCTCTCCATGGCTGTCTTGGAATGGCTCATACTTCAGTGGCTGGGTTCCAAAGCAAGCGTTCTAAGAGAACAAGGAGGAAGTGCATTGTGTTTTCATGATTTA